ATTGCAGAGGAAATGCAAAAAGTCGTCTTCCAATCGCAAAAGAACAAACATCAACAGTTACTCACCCATTGCAAGTAGTGTAAGTTCAGTGAGTGGCTTAACGTGTGTGTTTATGGCTGGCATGTGAAGAGCCTGATGACTGCTACGTTTGCATTTCAAGATATACACACAAGAGGAAAAAAACTACTTTATTTACTGGAACTTCCACGCTGCAGCCACTACGTTACTAAATAAGAGTTTGTGTCTATTGTTCCATGGTTTAAAGGGGTGACCGTGTAAATTAAAAATTGGGGTCAACCGGCGGTGCTTGTTCGTAGTCTCTATCTTATTGGGCACTTGCACAATTTCGTTTATATCACCGGAGACTATAAAAGTTTATTCGATAGGACGAAGATACTTCTTTATCTGTTGGAAGTTATAATGCGAAAAAAATTTGTCAGAGATCTAGAGGAAGTGCGACCAGTTGTTTTCCTCTTTCATCTTATGTTGGATTTCGTGGGTTGATACCGACGTTACTAAGATCGTGCAGTTTTGTACGTCGTTCCTCATGATTCCGTTAAATATTTCATATTGACTCAACTGTGAAAAAATCGGCACCCCGGTGGGATTCGAACACATGCTGTAAGAAGAACGCTTTAGTACAGCCAACGCTCTAATCACTTGAGCTACGAGGCCTCGCCAGACGACGAGAGTTTGATTACATTTGGGTCTAGTTACCCTCCCAACCTACTGCAAGGTCTGGAATCCACCAAATTTGATACAGTAAAGTGACTGCCCAGCCAGGAATTCCTAAGTAATTCACATAGAATCCACCAGCTGACTACCAGGCTCACGTAATTCATAAATTTTGGTAACTTGGCACTAATATGATTAAACTCGAGTCGTCCTGCGGGCCTTGTAGCTCAAGTGGTTAAAGCGTTGGCTGTACTAAAGCCTTTCCATTACTGCGTAAGTTCGAATCCCACCGAGGTTCTAAGTATTTCACAAACAGGTCAATATGAATTATTCAACGTCTGTCAAAATATCTATGAATACGAAAAATATGCCGTCGACATATCAGGCCCATGTTATGGCGTGCATTCTCATAATGCCTGCCAGAGCTTATATTAACTGCAGTGCTAGATTATTGCGTGGGCGAAGGATTAGGTTTAGGGCAGTGGTTTAATTTTGTATTCGAATTATTTTGTGTAAGGGGTTCATGAATATTTTATTTCTTCCTAGACGGCGCTCATGTCCGCCTTCATTGCCTATGAGAGACGTACCTCTTAAGTTGTCCTGTTTCAAGGCTCGAATTAGTCAGTCTCACATATTCCTTCGTGCAAACATTTAAAAAAGTGGTGGATTTATTCCATATTCCCTATTACTGTTTTACTCTCCTACTTAAATATATACAGTAGGCAAGTACCCAAATTAAACAGCTGCCCTAAGTCATTAACTATGGTACTCGAATATTTTTTAGGTTTTTCTAAATGTCTGAATAGATACCAACCTTGTTGTTTAACCAAGTGGTAAGAATTCCGATATATATATATATGAGAAGAAGAGGCGATCTCGGGAACCATGATTGTATTTTTCATGGACAACGGATATCTCCGTAACTTCATCGAGCGCAGCAGGCTGTCTAAACCAGGCCAAACTCGAGTGACAGAACAGCCAAAAGTCTGGCGTGCACTGCCATACATCGACGCGTCTCTGAGGCAGTCTCCCGCCTCCTAAGGCCCTTGGGGATCGGGATCGCTCATCGACCAGACTCAACCATTCGGCATTTGGTTATGAGACCGAAGGCCCCCCTACCACGAGGTGAAACGACAAACGTCATCTACCGGGTCCAGTGTAACTCTTGCCAAGCAAACTACGTCGGAGTGACAGGCAAACGGTTACAAACTCGCGTTAACGAACACATGCGGGCAGTGAGGAGAATGGACCCATTGTCTCAGGTGGCGGAACACTGCGCGGACTCTGGACACACTTTCGCCTTCCAGAACGCCAAAATTCTGGGTCGAGGCAACGACCGCGTAGCCAGGGAAACGATCGAGGCCTGGCACACGGAAACAAACTCAATAAACCGTTGCGTCGCCCTCCCGACAGCATACCAAACCCTCCGGACGCAGCTCAACGAACTAAAGGGCAAGCGCGAGGTCAGGCCGGACGTGGATCTAAACACGGGAGAGCCTACGACGGACCTACACGTAGCCACACCGCAAATCGGGCCCGACGAAGGCGCAGTCATCAATACTGTTGCCTCAACTACTACTCCGGCAGACGGGGAGAAACGCGATCAGAGGGATGCAATCAAGACTAGCAACCCAGCACGACAATTAAGGTCAACGCGAATGCGGGCGATGGCCACCAACGTACAAATGCCGCCCCCCGATGAGAGACAGGCAGATTGACAGCAGTAACCCTCCCTCCCGCTCTGCCCCGGCGACTACAGAGACGATCCCTGTGCGTATGCGGGCCATTAGCGCCAAAGCCGATTAACCACACCCTCCCACCTATAATTACCACCGTGTTCGCATGACTGATATCTATCCCCCTCCTATAAATACTGTGTGATGCCGTACGATACTCACCTCCGACGATGAAAGCTTGTCTGCTTTTAAAACGTCAGGACAATACAATCATGGTTCCCGAGATCGCCTCTTCTTCTCATTTATGTCCGGGGACTCAAATCTTCGCGTATGTCCGCACGCACGTCTTCAGGGATAGCAGAAGCCAGTAGGACGGATTCAAGACTCGCTTTGTGAAAAATTGTCTCAGACGTCAGCAACAACCACAAAACGTCGACTCTAACGGAGACAGGGTATCACGGAAATTCTTTTCCCTGCCCTACATGCCGAGAATTTCCGAAGCGATCGTTCGACAATTAAATCGATTCGGCATCTCCATCGCCCACAAACCGGCATCTTCAATGCGCACGACATTATCCCGGGTAAAAGACCCCATACCGAAGGAGCAGCAAACAAATATCATTTACCGCATTCCATGTTCAAACTGCTCTAGCGTTTATGCTGGGCATACCGGCCGACGACTTGGGACCCGCATTAAGGAACATAAGTTGGCATCCACCGACGGGACCCCTTGTCTCTCGTGTTTGCGCACTCACTTGAGTGTGATCACCGCTTCAACTGGGAGGGGACCGAAGTGATCGCTAGTGCCAACACCAAACAAGCGCGAGAGTTTCTAGAAGCTTGGCACTCTAATAGCAATAGCATCAACCGCCATGTCGACTTGTACGCTCAATACGAAGGCTTACGTTCACGCTTCGCCGGCTTGCGCCCACCCTAAGCCACCAACTGCAAATCCATGTTCAGCCATGTAGAATATCATGGATTCAGCACCTCCCCCACAGAGTGAACCATGTGTGAAACCCCCAACACCACCCCTTACGTCCGCCACCTATCCAAACACGTTCTTCACCCCCACTCATAAACGCCTGTCTTTTCGATGTAACCTCGATGTCCCCGTGACTCCCCAGTAGGATTATCTCCCTCACACTTTTCATTTCGTCTGACGACGGGTTGGTGTAACCGACTTGAAAATTAACGAGTATACCTCGATTTTCCGACGAGCCTTCTCCTTTTATTTTATCGCCTCGGAATGCATACTACCTCCATTATGCATATATATATATATATATATATATATATATATATATATCAGCGAGGAGGGACGACAGAGAATGCGTGTAGATTGATACAGCACTGTTTCGGGCTTATTCTGCCTTCATTCAGCCAATCATAACCCTGACCACCAGCAGCTGAGACCAGAAACATAAACATGCGCACAGACGCACCTGGCGCAGTCGGTCCACCACTGAGGCCTACCAGATGGGTCATAAGCACTTCATCGAACCGAAGTTCATCAGTGCCTCGCTGCTATTATGACTTGGCCGACTTCGGCCTGGTAATTGGTTGCCTGTTCGTGACCTTTGCCACACATACGGAGCTTGTTTGCTTTGTGAAGCCAATAGATCGGTGTGCGCCCATTCCTGATTGATATATATATATATATATATATATATATATATAGATCGGTGTGCGCCCATTCCTGGCTTACCAGGCCCTACGAGTGCGATTCAACCAACGGAATCAAAGGCAGGAAGTCAGGACCACAAGCCCAATTGAACACTGTTCGCGCCCAAACACCGATGACGGGGGTCAGCATACCGATAATGGAGACATAGGCAACGGGTCAGCAACCACCGGCGTGCACACGGGCAGAGGTAAACGGGCGACAATTACGAGAAATGCGGGTCAGGCACAACAAATGCGGGTAATGCAGACGAGGTCAATGACCGTTGCCATCCCGACTCAGCCCACCTGACTAGGAGACGATGAAATGACCGGCCAGCACGACAGCAATTAACTCCTCTCCCCGCAGCAGATCCTGCACGAATAGCAGTAAGAACGACAACACTCCCGCATGCTCAGCACCCATAAATACTGTGAGACGCCGTACAGAACCCACCTCCGACGACGGAAGCTTGTTTGCTTTTGAAACGTCAGGCTATTAAACCTATGGTTCCCGAGATCGCCTCTTCTTCTCATTTATCCCCGGGGACGCGCATTTTCGCTTTAATTGGCAATATATATATATGTATATATATATATATATATATATATATATATGAAAAGCAGAAGTGGTTCTTCGGAAATATCGAGTTTTACTCGTGAATTTTCCAGCTGGTGACACCAACCCGTCGTCAGACGAAATGAAAACGAGGGAGAAAGTTATGTTGTCACAGTAGACCAGTTAGCGTGATAGGACAGAACAGACCACTGACGTGTGAGGGGGGGGGTGGTGGTTGGGTGGGCTCCCGAGGACATGGTAGGTCACTGAGTGAGGGGCGGGGAAAGGGAGAGGAGGCGGAACAATTACGGCACGCCGTGCTGAAGGGGGAGGGTGGGTGGTGAATCAGTTGGAATGCGGGCGGCTGTATTCGCGGTCGTTGATGCGTGATTAGGGCAGAGGGCAGTCATTCGTGAACGTAGACCCTCTTAATGGGCATCTAAATCAACGTGGCGGTTGATACTACCCGCATCGGAGTACCAAGCCTCGAGAAATTCCCTCGCTCGCTTTGTGTTAGCCATGGCGACGACCTCGGTGCCATCCCAATTGAATCGGTGGTCGTACTCGAGTGCATGGGCAAAGACGAGGGACAGGGGGTCTCGCCGACGGATAGCTAGTTTGTGTTCGTTGATACGGGTGCCCAGGCATCGACCTGTATGGCCAACATACACGCAAGAGCAATTACCACACGGGATGCGATAAATTACATTCGTTTGTTGCTCTTTGGGGAGGGGGTCCTTCACTCGAGATATTGCTGCGCGTAGTGAAGATGCCGGTTTGTGGGCAACGCGAATACCCAGGCGGCTGAACTGCCGAGCGATTATTTCGGAAGTTCCACGCATATATGGCAAGGAGTAGAATTTTCGCGTCACAATCTCTCCGTTGGGGGTGGGGTCTTGCGGCTGTGTCTGGTGCCTGAAACAGTTCTTAACAAAACTGATCGGATATCCGTTAGAGCGGAATAACCGATACAGGTGAGCAAGCTCTTTGTTCAGGAGATCGTTGTTGTTACAATAACGGTAGGCCCGCTGGAACAGAGTTCGGACGCAGCTTCTTTTGTGAGCTGCGGGGTGGTTGCTTCCATAGTTGAGGATAATTTCAGAGTTAGAGTCTTTCCTATGGACGCTCGTTGCCAGGGCACCATCGCTCAACTTCTGTATTCTCACATCCAGAAACGGCAAGCTGTCTCCAATTGCCTCTTCGCGGGTAAACTGTAGGGCTGGGAAGACGCCATTCAGTCTCTGGTGAAGACGTTCGACTTCGCACTTCTTTATTATGACAAAGGTGTCATCAACGTAACGAAGCCATAGTTTAGGCTGGATAGTTTGGAAGACTATCTCTTCTAGTCGCTGCAAAACTAGTTCGGCCAGAAGTCCTGATATTGGTGAGCCCATCGGGGTTCCCTTTACCTGTTGATAGTACCTATTATCAAATTGACAATAGTTCCTAAGGCAGAGATTTAGCAGTTCTATAACATGCTGTGTTGGGATCTCGATAGGACTGGTCTGTAGGCGTTGGGTTACGCATTCAATCGCCAAATCGTGTTGTATGGAAGAAAACAAGGCAACGACGTCAAAGGACAGGAAGCATTCATCGGCACTTACTTTGAGGCCTTGTACCCTGCGGAGGAACGCTTGAGAGTTGTTAATGCTGTAGTCCGATCCATAAGTGAGCCGCTTCAGACGACTGTATAACCACTTAGCCATATTGTGAGTGGGTGATCCGATAAGTAGCACTATAATCCTCAGGGGGACATCCACTTTGTGCACGTTCACGAATGACTGCCCTCTGCCCTAATCACGCATCAACGACCGCGAATACAGCCGCCCGCATTCCAACTGATTCACCACCCACCCTCGCCCTTCAGCACGGCGTGCCGTAATTGTTCCGGGAGCCCACCCAACCACCACCCCCCCCCTCACACTTCAGTGGTCTATTCTGTCCTATCACGCTAACTGGTCTACTGTGACAACATAACTTTCTCCCTCGTTTTCATTTCGTCTGACGACGGGTTGGTGTCACCAGCTCGAAAATTCACGAGTAAAACTCGATTTTTCCGAAGAACCACTTCTGCTTTTCATTATATCAACTCGGAATGCATACCCCATCTGAGCTACAATATATATATATATATATATCGGAATTCTTACCACTTGGTTAAACAACAAGGTTGGTATCTATTCAGACATTTAGAAAAATATTCGAGTACCATAGTTAATGACTTAGGGCAGCTGTTTAATTTGGGTACTTGCCTACTGTATATATTTAAGTAGGAGAGTAAAACAGTAATAGGGAATATGGAATAAATCCACCACTTTTTTAAATGTTTGCACGAAGGAATATGTGAGACTGACTAATTCGAGCCTTGAAACAGGACAACTTAAGAGGTACGTCTCTCATAGGCAATGAAGGCGGACATGAGCGCCGTCTAGGAAGAAATAAAATATTCATGAACCCCTTACACAAAATAATTCGAATACAAAATTAAACCACTGCCCTAAACCTAATCCTTCGCCCACGCAATAATCTAGCACTGCAGTTAATATAAGCTCTGGCAGGCATTATGGGAATGCACACCATAACAAATGCAGACGATTCGTGGTGCAGAGGCTAACCCAGTTTTCATCAGTGCTATCGCACACTAGGATCCCGCTGCCTCGCATGTTGTTGGTGCTTAAAATTGTGATCATTAACCGTGTGGATCAGGGAGTGTGGAGTGACAGCCAAGGCGGGGACTCGGCCACGCCGTCCACATGCGTCCACCCCCCTACTTCCGGTCCTCTTGACTCTGTCTTGACACCGGGTGCATGTGGGGGAAGAGAGAGTGAGGTGGACGCTGTGCATGTCTACTACCATCTTAAACGAACCCACGCACAAGTAACCGCGCCAATGCTCACCTTGTTGTGAGGCACACGGCGGTCAAATGGTCATGCTTGTGTGGACCGGCCGCATGTATGTAGTCGTTTATCATCGCGATATCATCACTGACACCAGTTATACCCGTGCCAACCATTGGATTCCGCGGCACGCCAATATTACATGTCAAACAATATGGCTACTAACTCTTACCCAACGGACTCCAGTAATTGGTTTCGAATGCATGTTCAGAGATAATTCTTTAGCTGTGCGTTATGCCTACGTTAGTCGCCTTTCATTGCGATCTAGGTGCCATCTAAATAAGGGTTTAACGTGTCTATTTAAAAGTGCTATGCGAATATTACTATCGTATTTAAAATCTATAACGTATCTGTAAACATGAATAATGCAAACACTTTTCCAGACAAATTATAGCTAAAACATGGCTTTACTTTTAAATTTCCTTGAGTAATGTGCAACGTTTCGAAATGTCTGATGAACCCTCGATGACTAAACAATGGAAATGGGTATTCCAGGCGCGTCAGTCATCAGGACAATTCCCGTTTCTTAAAAAAATGGCAGGAGTCACCAAAATTCTCCTCTCAGGCGGCAGTTGTCGCTGGCGAAGCCAGGCTTGATATGGTGTCCATTTGGTGCGTGTTCCTCTTGCCGAGGGACGGTAATCAAATACCCTGCGCAGCATCCGCAGGGGGTGGTAGGTTTCAATAACGCCTGACCAGTTGCGACTCTGTAAACGCATCTACGATCGACTTGAGGTGGCCCAAGGTCAATAGGTCTGGAGCCGTTCAATTAACGTCCGTTGACGCAACGTTGCACTGAAAAGGGGCACTGCACCTGGCAATTATGACTGAAAATAATGACATCAAGATGCAACGGCTCGGCCTGTATGACTAAACATACTTATCAGCGATAGTTGACGCGCCTCAAGCGGTGATTTTGACATCAAGCATTCAGCGGTTCTTACAGCCACCAAACTTCGACTGAATACGGACAGCATACAAAATCGCTCATTGTTGGAGAACGAAATACGTCAAATTATTTTTGATTTATACCTGCTTTAGGGCACATCATAATATCAAGGACATTTGGCAAGTCATGGGACATATACTCTTTTTAAAAAACATGTGCGTGCACTTTGGTGGCATTGATAGTCTTCTGTTGTCTCGAGACTCCTGTCGTATCTGCTTTTTTAAAAGTTCTTATGAAGGTAGAAACATAAAGCAATTAAAGCGTGCACCGTAGCGCATATGTTTATAGACTGTTACAAATATTGTAGTCCCGAAAATAATCTTGTGCATTTTTGGTATCCTAATTTTTAGTGTGGTCAATACAAAGATTTATACATGCACTTCGTTTTTGCAAATGTATTTCTTATTTCTGACCTTGTGACTATTGTACGACAGTTATGCTTTAAATGATTATTATCCTCTCCATAAGTGGCAGGAAAGAGGTGACCACATAGCAACGTTTCACTTGTTAAGACGACTTGAACGGGTATAGACAGGGAAACTCTTTTTAAAATAGGACCAAAAACTAATCTCGAACGACACGATTACCAGCTTAAAAAGGTACCATGTCACACAAATTCGTGTTTCTCTTTTATCGCGCAATGACATTTCGCAGGCATATGTTGTTAATTACCTTAACGTGAGTGTGTTTATGAGATGTCTGGGCAGTTACATGTTAAGAGGGAATCCAAACACCCCAAGTCTGATTTATTTCATTGAACGCATTTTTGGCGTTATTGTGCAAGTCTTACAACGTTCCCTTTTTGTGTTATACCTTTAGACTTACGCAGCCTGCACACTAAACCAACACGTAAATGTTTACAATTATACGATTTTATTTATACTATCACCGTTTTAGTGGAGTTTGAAATGCTTCTGTCATTTACTCTGAATATACGGACAGACGGATTCTGAGGGGAACGCCCTGGCAAAAATCTCAAAAAACGCGCTTTATTTTTCCTCGGACATCTTTGCAATGGATTCCATGGTGACGCACTTCACAGCTCATCATGTTTTTATACAAACACTTATAGAACGTTGCATTATGTATCATTGAATTCTTGGAAAAATAGTGTTAAGTTTCAGACCCCGGCCATTTTGAAGTACCATCTTGTCAGTAAGCCGGCGATTTCGTAAATATAAATATACAAACACAGAATAATTAGTAGCTGAATGCCCTTGCTACGCACCGTGAAGGTGTACTTTTGCATATGTATTCTTGCATATGCAAAATCAGAACAATATTGCGAAAAGACGGACTTTGAGGTGTTATCGAACAACTGTGAGTGGCAGACCGGAAAAAGGACCTACGAGGAATGTAAACGTCTATGTGAACGTGGGAACCATAACTTGATGATATTTGAATCAGACAATGTAAGACTGCGAACAGTTTCGTATCCTCGGGACTTTTTACATTCAACACACTAGATGAAATGTTTACCTGAATAAGATTAAATTAACCACTCTTGTCTTGGTCATTTTTAATACCTTATCGTCGTGTTGATTTAGAATATTATTTTGCATCATCCTTTATTCTCAGTATCGCTTCTTCTGTTGCGATTCGGTTGCATTTTCACATATCGCGATATATGGTTCGCCCGCAGGCGACTTAATATGACTGAGATCGGACGAATACGTTGGTGTAGTCTACTTCTGCGCTTCAAGCATGATCGAAGACTAAGCACTATTGAACTGTGGTAGTCATTTAGGAAAATGGATCCGCCGCATACGGCAGTACGGTAATGCGTATATAACATGCATAGCATGTACTTTTCTCTATTTACCTGCCGGGATGTTAGAAAAATAACAAAAAATGTAACTGTAAATGTTGGTCTGCTGGCCGTGTCAGCGCGCTTTTGCGTCCATAATCAATTAAAATTTAGGGTTTATCGTACGATTAAGGTATTTTTCGCCGTTTTTTTGCTAGCATGCAGCTTAGTTTACAGAAAAATTTCGACGGCAGACCAAACACTTTTTTGACGTCCACTAGGGTACTTTTAGACGGTAGCGGTAAATTGAGAAATTAACATGATTGCAAAAATATTTTTAAATTCACTTAACAAATATTTGGTTACTTTTAGAAAATCTGCCGGATGTGCGTTGAACTGTTTGTATCGGACGTTATAATAGTTAAAGCGCCTAGACGCATTCTGTACGCACGTTGCACCTACAGTAAGTCTTAATGACCGAGTTCTTATCGTACTTTCATCAAATTCCATTTTTATACCAAAAACTTTATATATTATATTGTGAATTTAAGTGCGCTTTAGTATCACTGATTCTGTGAACACATTATGTACAAGATTGTATGTTTCATGCTAAAAGTATAAATTGTAAGACAGACCAACTCTTCTATTTATTACAAGTTTATTACGTCGACATATTGACATATTATGCGAGATAACGAGTAGGAGTAGGATTTCCTCATTTTCATTATATATTGTACTACAGAAGTACGTTTTCGTAGTTTACGCTGTTCTTTATCTCATAATTAATGTACCTACGACATT